AGGGATGGGGGGCTGAGGGCAGCTGGGGCACCACCGGGGTGTTTTGTCCACCCCCGAGACCTGGGCGGGGGGCAGAAGGGGGAAATTGGAACTCGTCTGAGGCGTGGGGTGCTCCCCTGTCCCCAGGGCTGACCTGCACTGAGGGGGCTGGGGGGGTTTCAGTCCTTTCTGTGTCCCCAAGCAGCAGCAGGCTCTGGGTCCGGTGCCTGAGCGTTCGGTGGCGGCTGCCGTTGCCCCGAGGCTTTCTGTGTTCCCGCTGTCGTAGCCCAGAGGCTTCCAGTCTCCCTCCCTCCCTTTGTCGCAACTAATTTTTGGAGAAAGAGAGTTTTCCTTCTGACTCTCTGTAACCAAGGGAAATCCCGTGGTGTCCCCGTGGTCTCTCTGTACTGTGGCCGTTCCCAGGCCTGTGTCAGTGGTTTTCCTCTAACCCGCGTCCACGTGTGCATCGTGCTGGGGCAGAGCCGTGCTCTCAGCAGCTGTGTGCCGGGCCTCCTCTTTCTGAGCGTTGCACCTTTCAAAAGCTGAGAATGGAACACCTAGATTTGGGGTTTTTTCCACCTTTCTGCCTTTAGATGAGGACTGTTGCCTTCCTAGGAAGCTGAGCACCCTTGTTAACACAGGAAAAGTAGATGCATCTTATCTCTCCCTCACTTCCCAGATCATAAAAGGAACTGATGTTGTCTTCTGAGGTTGCGTAATCGCTCTTGTTTTGTTGGTTTTTTTGGGGGTTTGCCTTTCCCCAAAGGAAATGAGGCATCTCTCGGTTCGGGTGCTGGTTTTTCCCTTCCACACAGGACGATCCATCGGCTTCCCCAGCTTGGCCGGGGCGTGCTTTCCATGGTTAAAGAGTGGCAGAAGGCACCCAGGGGAACGTTTCCTCCTGTGACATGATGCGGGAGGTAGGACTTGCTGTGCCTTGTGCAATCGGTGTGTAAACACCGCACTGACCTACTGGGGCTTGTTTATCTGGTGCCCTTGGAGCCGATAAGGATCATTGCACTTGGAGTATTGTCTAATTCTGAATATCCAGGAATCTGACTCCAGGCAGTTCCCCCGAGGGAGCCTTTTTGGTGATTGCTGAGGTCTGCAGGTGTTGTCCGAGCGTAGCAACCTTCCTGCCTGTGAGTTTTTTTCCTTTTTCCAACCAACGGAGCTGGTTTATATCCTGCTTCAGTTGTTTATGTGGTAGAGAGGGGGGAAAACAAAAACATTGACTGTTTAAATTGCCTTTTGACTGATAATTTAGTATTTTTGTAGCTTACTGGATATACCTCACTCTGCTGTGAAAGTCCGTTAAAAGGCTGCGGGTTCCCTGGCGAGAGCTGGGATCCTGCTCCTCCAGCCTCTTTCCAGGAAACATGGGCTCTGCCAGAGCAAATCCCCATCTGGGAGGTAGGGAATAGCCTAGAGTGAGGAACTCGAGGTGAGCTGTAGCTTATTGAACAGGTCCTTGAAGTTGTCTGCCCCTAAATAAGAGCAGTTATTTTCCATTCTTATTAGTGGTAATAAAACCAAGTGGCTGTCAGGCTTTTCCTGCGATAAAAGAGATCAAGGAGGTGTCTGTGTCTTTCTGGGTTGGGCTGGTGCAGCGGAGCAGGTAACTTTCATAAAAAGCCTCCAAATGTAATGCGGTGGGAAGGTGAGATGCTTTGAAGTGTAATGGGATGTTTTTAAAGATCCTCAGTCCTTCTAAACAGAGTCGTATTGTTAGGAATTCTTAAATCTGGGCTGTGTGGAAGAAAACTGTGTCTGGCTGTGCCTTTAGGAGTCGTTAAAGGGTTCTCTGTCCTTTTCGGTCTGGGAGTCCTCCGGTAGGGATGTGTTCTCTGGTCGGTGCCGGCTGTGGATGTCGGTGAGAGACGGTGAACGGAGAAATCCATCGGGATAGGCGTGGGAAGTGGTGAGCTGGGAGCACACCACGGTCCGAAGCCGAGGTCTGTCAGAGCGGAGCCGGGAGACCCTGCCTCAATTCCTGAGCTCAGCCCTGGTGCGGACGTGACACAGATGAGCGAGCGGTGGGCTCTGTCCTGGAGAAGTCGCGACTGAAGGCAGCGAAGGCACAGGAAAAGAGTGGTGGTCCTGTGGGGATTAAGATGGGCAAGAGAAATTTGAAATTTGAACCCCAAGTCCAGTATTTTAACCAGATTATTTCTAAAACCAGGCATATGGGAAGAGTTGGCAACTGGAATGTCAGTGGAGTTCTTTTTAAGAACAGAAGTATGAATAATATGTTCTGGTTTGGCTAATTATAGCTTTTTGTTTGGAATCGAAGATGCGGCATTAATAAATATAATGGCTTCTGTTTAAATGAAAAGAGTGTCCCAGCCTGGCAGGATTACAGCAGCAGGGTCCTGCTGGCCTGCGTGATCGACCTGACCGCTTCCATCAGAACTTGGGGTTCTGGGATTGTTGATGTGTCAGTAGCCTTGACGTGTGTAGGGATGTGATCCTTCAAAAAAAACGTGAAGCTGGGTCAGGCTGATAAGTGTGCGATAGGGGTTGGGCTCTCGAGGCCGCAGAGACTTTTGTTGCTCTGTGGATCCAGCCTTGGTTTGTGACAAAGAACGTTAACTGGGAAAGCGAAAGAGCAACTGGTTTGATATGGTTTAGTCTTCAAGGACTTCAGATATCTCTCTCTTTTTTTTTTTTTTTTTTTAATCACTTGCATGCCAAAACAGATTTAATCAGCAGCTTTCTAACTGAATTACCGAACTTTGGGGATAGAGCGAGCCAAACACAGAAGCTGGGGTTGGTTATTTCAGAGAAACAGCTTTGGGTGGGTTCGGTATCCAACAGCCCTCTGGGACCTGGCAGCATCCTTCAGTTCCTGCCGTTGTTTATCACAATGACCTGAGCAGCTCCTTCGAGAATCGGCACAAAGCAGACAGCAGCCAGAATATCACTCGTTCATTCCTCACCTCTGCTTGGTTTGTGTTCTCTTTTCAGGCAGATTTTTTGAAAGGATTACCGGTCTACAACAAAAGCAACTTCAGCAGATTCCATGCGGACTCTGTATGTAAAGCATCAGTAAGTACTGCCCCATCCTGGTGCGCCAGGGGAAGGTTTTCTTGCACAGCTCGAAGGATGAAATAAACTTGAAATTAGTATTTTGTTTCTTAAAATACATGTATGATCACAGCTCATAGTTCATGAGTGGAGGCTGGCAAGGAAAGCTTCCTGCCTGCTTTGACGAGGAGTGCGTCCTCACATCAGCCAAACCATGTCTGTGGTGCTTTCTTTATGTACATGTTCTTTCATAGTGGTCCTGTGCCCTGAAAACCCTGGGAAAAAGGGACCTCCTTCTTTCCAGGTGTGGTTTCAAAAGCTGTAGCTGCACAGTGTCATGTCACAGGGCAGAATATCACAACGCATTTGTAGCCTGCGTTAACGAGGGCCTTTTGGTTGGTTTAGCTGTGCTTGGGTTAAAAATCGCCTTTTTGTCTTGTCTTCATTCTGTAACTGTTCTTATTCTCCTACAGAATAGAAGACCATCGGTATATCTTCCCACGAGAGAATACCCGTCTGAACAAAGTAAGTCTGCCCCACTAAAGTGGTTATTTTGCCTTTTTTTTTTTTTTTTTAACTTTATTCTGTTCTGATGACCTCATTGTGTTTCTCTTTTTTTTTTCGCAGTCATAGTAACAGAAAAGACAAATATACTTTTGCGTTATTTACATCAGCAGTGGGACAAAAAGGTATGCTCATATTTTCTTAATATCAGCATTTTGTCTGGGTTTGCTGACTGGGGCTAACTGAGCTGAATATTGATCCCAATAAAATATTGAAGATTAATTAAAGTGCGAGCTGCACTTCAACAAAAGATAGGATAGGGAGGCTCTGTCTCTGCACAATGCTTCTTTAAAAAAACCAACTTTTTAATCTGTTTCGATGTAAGGGACATTAACTCAGTGTTTAGTCTGGAACTCAGGAGGCTGCAGTTACATCTCCAGCTATCTGCTGTTTTCCTTTGTGACCTTGGGAGATTGGTCTCCTTGTGCTTCAGTGTCTGCTTCACAGCCAGGGCAAAGCTGCTCTGAGCTCCCAGGACTGGGAGGGGAAGAGAGATGAGCTTGTGCAGAATGTGAGCGAATTAATGAGGCTGTGTGAGGACTTTGGGTACAAAATCTGAGTTCTCCTGTGAGGAGCACAGGGATTAGTGTGCTCTAGCTAGTGTTTGAGGTGAGGAAACTGGAGTACCTGGGCTGGGAGTCCTCAGAACTGACTTGGGAGTGGAGACGTCGAAGCAGCGATTGTACTCGTGGGCAGAGCAGAGGTTGCAGAAGAACGTGGAGAGAGGTAGAATTGTAAGGAATCTTGAAGCTGAAAAGGAAGCGTTTGTATGTGACAGAAGGCTTTGGGAGATTTTGGTAAGTTCAGGGTCTGACTCAGAGCAGTGGGAAAGGGGATCTTACTCATGTTTATGCAATATTTGAGATCTATAAATAAAAGGTGCTGAGATCCATGGTGGTTTAGTCCCACCCTCACATTTGAAGAACAATCTAGAAGGAGAACCTTTTGGCTTTGGGCAAAATCCTCTTCAGTGTTTGTTCCAGTGTGCCTGTTAGGTCATTGCGGAACCGTGTTCCATCCAAAAACTGTTACAAACAGAACCTTGTTGTAGCTCCCACCAGAACGTAAGGCTGTGGAGAGGTTCACCGTGGCTTTCTCTGTCCCAACAGAATGCAGCAAAGAAGAGAGATCAAGAGCAAGTGGAAATAGAAGGTGAGAATTCGGCACCACCACGGAAAATCGCTCGGACAGACAGCCAGGATATGAACGAGGACACTTAAACTCTTGACTTTCTCTTCTACTACTTTGCAGGCGCTTCCTGTTTTGTCTCAAAGTGTGTAAATTTTGCCCCCATTTGTCACCCCTCCACTATGCAGCCCAAACCACTTCTGACTTCATAGGAGCCAATGTATTTATTTTTTTTTTTCCTCTCCATTTTTTTATTTATGCCGTAAAACCTACAGAGCAATGGTGGAACAAGTCAGTAAATGATGTAGTATAACCTTAGTTCCTCCTTTCTAAAAATATACACTGTCACTTTCACAGGTTTTGTTGAATCTGTACCTAACCAACAAGGTCCATCTGCGGGCGCCTGGGTAGGAGACGTGGGTTATTGCAGAACCCTCCCGTGACTTAGGTTTTCCGATTCCTGTGCCCGTTGACATATTACACGTGGATAACTCTTCTTTGGATGTGCGCAGTCCAGCCATAAGTGTGGGGCCTCACTATTTTTCTCAAATATTCTGAAACTGGCACTGCACTAAAAAAAAAATCATGGGTGTTATTTAGGGTTATGCTGGTCTTGGCAGACGTCGCCTCGATCTCTCAGTTGTATTTTTTCGGTCTGTTCGGTAAGGGCCATGGTCACTGGGCAGCGTACATTATCCCGTGCATCAGTGGTCATGGAGAGTTCAAGTGAAAGGTGTGTTGCTTTTGTTGCTTTTAAATTCTCTTGGTCTTGAATGGACTGATACGTGCAGCTTCTCCGCTGGAATAAAAGGATCCTCCTCTCCTGCTCCGAGTGTTTGATCCCCAGTGTCTGTAGGCAGCAGCTGGTGGAACGGAGCTGGGCCGGCACCCTGCGAGCAGCACGTGGCTGGATGTGTCCGGGAGCACCTCGGCAGCTAGATGCAGTTCTGTCTCGACTGCCGGCTCTGAACGATGGTACGTTGTATTTTCCTGCGATATTGGCACATCTGGAATGGAGTCCGGGACTTGGAGTTGATCAAATTGTGAGCTTCCATGGTCTCCGATGAAGACCGCTCTCTTTTGGACTGTGACAGTTCAGTGCCTGTTGCCTGTAACCCTTCGCTGACTCTTCGATAAGAGCCAGAATGGAGCCCGGGAGTCGTCCATGTGGATTCAGAGGTTCAGAGGCTCAAAGGAAGCGAGCGTTGTCACCTGAAGGGGACAGGAAAGGTGTAGCTTAGTAACGATGTCTTGTCCGCTTTAACGTAAGGAGCTGACTTCACCCTGTGTTAGTTTGAATTGTTGCATTTCTAGCTGTGTTTTTTCCTCCTTCACAAATCCTAAACACCAATTCAAGAAATCGCACGAACATTTTTGTAGACACCCCGGATAAGCCTTGTTCCGAGCGGCTGTCGCGGCCGCGAGCTTTGAGGGTTTCTGCCGTCCCCTTCTCCACGGCATCCCCGTCCGACCGGGGGACGCCACGCGTTCAGGTTTGGGGGCAAAGGGAACACGAAGGGAGACAGACTGTTGCTGACAAGTGCATGTTGCAAGGCAGAACCTTAGGAAGAGCAAGGGCACAGCTGACGTTGCGTTTTTAAATGTACATTAGGCACTGAGTTTCTGATGCAGTGAGTGAGTTTAACACTGAGTAGTTTAGAACTTTTTATCTGCCTCAAAAAAAAACCCCGTGACCTTTTGCTGTGGCAGTAACCTCCGAATTACTGGAATGTCGTTGAAAATGCCAACTGTGTTGGTGAAGATAAAACGCGCTCGGATTTGCGTGTGATTTACTGGCGATTGCGAGAGGGCTTCTCCCAGAGTTACGCCGTCAAATAAGTGCTTTTGTGCAAAGTGCAAGACGTTGGCTGAAAACGCCGTGTTAGCATCCGGCCTCCCGGGGCTGATCTGAAGCTGAAGAATCCTTTGAAGAGCTCTGAGATACCGAAAGAGGAAACGGACGTGCAGCTGATGGTAACGTGTGACCAATTTGTGTGTTTAGCAAAGGCTGAGAGCTGCGGCCCTGCAGCGGTGTTTGTACAGTGCTTTAACGTTGTAAAATGCTGTGTGATTCCTGATGGATGCGGCAAGGTTTGAGCTTTGCTGACTTCTCTGCTAGACAGAGTGATGTACTATTAAAGAGAGTTGGCAGTTCCTTCCTGTTGTAAACCCCCGTCTTTGTTCCCTCCGTGTCTTTTGAAAACGATCTTGTTGGTTACGGGAGCATTTGAAATATTTCAGGTGTTTTTAGGAGGTATAAGAAAGTTGTCTTTTTAAAGTATTCTGAAGTGACGGAGAAAAAACACTTTGAAGCGACGTAACTTTAAGTGTCAGACTGGTTGGGGTTTGTTTTGCACGGTGGCTGTGCACGAGCAGCGTGGATTTCCACACCCCACCGACCTGAAGCGGGAGCTCCCTTCCTGCCTCTTTCTCCACCTCGCTTTCCGTCCTGCTGGCTCCAGCGTCCTGTCCTCGAGCGGTGTCGCTCTGACCCTGTATTCGCGTCTGTTTAACACGTGGTAAGTGTATCGGGTTTGAGCGTTGCATGGAAGATCGTCTTTGCCTAACTGTGACTTCCTGGTGCCTTAGTTCATTGAAAACAACAAAAAATGTTTAAAAAAACCGAACCCTGGGATTTTGCTGACCACTCTGTATAACGCCCAGCTCCTCCGACTCCCACCCACTGTTACGACGTGACGGAGATGCAGTGACCCTCAGGGGTTTTGTACGTGTGTTGTGGTGTTTGTATGGCTTCTGTTACCAATGTACATGCGAGGTTTGGGTTTTTTAATGAAAATTTGAGATACTTGTCAGAGATCAGAATTCTGGGTTCTTTTTTTTTTTGGACAGTGCATCTTTTCTCAAAAGTCAAAGCAGCAGAAACGTGTTTCTCAATATCAAGGGATGATGAGTCCGTCTGGGAGCAGCCCCTCCAGCAGTCTGTCCTGTCCGCAGGCGTCTGTCCTGCGTCAAACAGCGCTAGAGCTTGTGCCCGGTGTGAGCGATTAGATGTGCGCTGGGTAAGTTTAGAATGATAAAAAGCTAGGCACTGCCCTTTTCTAACATAAAAATACGCTAGTGACTGATGTGCAGGGAAACTAACGTTTTGTTTAGGTTAATTCTTCATATCATATGATCACATCTTTTTTTAGGGGAGAAATAGTTAAAAAAAGTACATTAGAGGTGGAAAAGTATTGAAAGAAAGGACAGACTTCAACGTGTTCTGTGAATTCACAGCGGAGGGGACAGGTAACCGTGTCCGAGCAGCAAACTCTGTGTTTGCGTGGCTGATGGGCTGCAGGGGTTTGCGGGGTCGGTTCCTTTGGTCGGAGCGTGTTCAGCCAGGTGCTGTTGGCGCGTTCCGCTCCCAAGGTGTTTCCTGGACCTGGCCTTGGAAGTTTTTTTGAGAGCTGAATGGATGGTGCCCTAAGCAGAACCTGCCGCTGGAAGGTTTGTTTTTGTATGAAGCTGGCAAGCTCTGGAAGCCTGTTAGCAAAGCTTACGGAGTTTGCAAATGTGCAAAAGGTTTTTTTGACAAGCTCTGAAACCACGTTGTGCTCCAAAGAACAGCGAGGGGGAGGCTGAAGATCCGGAGCGGGAAGGGAGAAGGGAGCGGCGCAGCTGGGGTTGTCTGAGCTCTGCCTCAGGAGTGTTTAAGGTGGGCGGTTGGGTTTTGGTGCATTTCACTAAGAGGGTGCACTTAGATGTGTCCCACGGGAAGAGGACAGCCTTTTGGAATAATTTAGAGATGTTAGGTGTGATTTGTTAAAAAAAGGGGTTTCCTCCCTCCCCGGCATGTGCCTTTCGCCCTGGTTCAGTTCTCGGTGTTTGGACTGTCTCCTGTGAGGCAAATTTTGAACACGCTAGACGCTAATTTTAAAATTTTCACTGTGTAGTTACAACAGGCGTAACTTCGAAGCTTGATTTTTTTGGCGAGCTCCTTGACGCTGGCCTTACGAGCAAAGACTAAGCAGGATTTTGGATTTTTCTAACCTGCAGCTATCGGCTCTGTCACCACTCACCATTTCCTGGCGTGTTTGTGTACCACCAGCTCAATTTTTTGTTTTTAAGATTTTTTTTTTTAAAAGATGTGCATTATCTATAACAGGAAAATGAATTTGTTTTCCTGGATTAACGACATCCGCCTGGCAGCTGGGGAACTGTGCGACGCACTGACCGTGACCGGAAGGGTTCCAGCTGATCTCTTCCCTGTCAGGTTTTATCTTATGTTTTCTTAGTGGGAAATCCTTCTCTTTAAAGAAGAGAGGGTTGCACTTACCTGGGAGCAGCTTCGGGGTATTTTTGGGAGCGGTGCAGAGGATGTGCTGACCTTCACGCCGTGCTGACTGCGCCTTCGGGTTCCTCTGCTGCTGGTTCACATCCTCTGTGCCCCGGCCGCCGAGAGCGCAGCCCCGGGTCTCGTCTGACAGATCTGGGATGTTTGCCACCGGCCATCACCCCGAAAGGCTGAGTCGGCAGGGTGTCCAGGTGGACCGGCCGTGCCAGCTGGCAGCTCGCTGGTGGCTGCGTCCAGCCTCCGCGGAATGACCGTCACCCATCGGCTCGCCGAGCGCGTCCTGGAACGCCGGCGCTGGCAGCTGGGTTGGGTTTATATGAAAGATGCGTGTCATCTGGAGAGTTAATGTCGGGGAGGAGATGGGACTTGGAGAGCTTCATCTTTTTTTAACTACTGGGGGGAAAAAAAACCAACCCATCTTCTAGATATTGAAAAGGCTGAACCTGGCCTGCAGGGAGGAATCTTTGTAACTGAGATAAGGGAATGAAATAGCAGCTTTCGGATTCTCTCTGAGATTCTGTTTCTAAAGGCAAAGCTTTCCTTGTGTGACCCCAAGTGTGAAGAACTAATGCTCCCTATGTGGGTGATTTTACAACTGGGTTGTTCTAGGAATTCAAAAAAGTCTTATTGTCGGTCTCAATGCTTTTTGAGGAATCTGGGTGGCTCTGACCTTTGTGGTGGAGCTCCAGGTTTCACCCATGTCAGCCTGGAAGTGTTCAGCTGGCGGGATCGAAGGGAACGTGACCCTGTTTTGAATCAGGATTTTTAATACGGGTGACACCGGGTGAGCCCGCGTGCCTGCGGACCAGCGTTTGCTGCGGTTGCAGATGAAGTTTTCCACAGGTCGGAGGCCAGAGGTGGCCCCGCTCCTCGGCTCGCCGGCCCCGGAGGAAAGCAAAGCAAAGCTGCCCTGCAGCCGCTCTGCGCAGCGAGGAGGGTGGTTTGTGCTCTTTGTGCTACAACTCCGCTTTTAATTTCCCCGCCTTTGCGACCGAAGCAAACTTTGTCTAGCAGCTAGCAGGAACGTTCCGATTTGCCTCGATGCTCCCAGCTCTGAGCATACCCAGGATCGTCCTTGTTTGCTCCTCGGTGAGTGGTGGTGCCGGGATCCTTGGGATGCTGCCGTTAAACACGCATGCTGCTTTTATTTTTTTGAGATGTGATATTGGACAGTCTCACAGGTCAGATGCTTTGATTAGCATCGTGTCTGAGGGGCTGGGGGGGCATCGAGGCAGCGGAGGGCGCAGGTGGGGAGCGGGACTCGCTCTCGGGTTTGTTCCTTGACGA